AAAAAGTGTATATATATATATATATATATATATATATATATATATATATATCTCTAAATTGCCAGTTCTTGGTCACAATATCATCAAGCTTTTATTATTTCAGTCGTCTTACACAATTGCATAATAATTATACATCATTTTACGTGTAGGCTGAAGACTTACTATTACCAATGCTTTTTTTCATAATAAGTCACTCAGAATACTAAATTTAATTGATAAAACAAGATACAGATAAACGATATCAAATATCTTAAGTCCTTTAAGAATAGTAACTGAATGATGGAAAATTACACCTTTTATAAATTGGGCTACTACAGTTGTTTTGACTATTTCATGTACTAATTATTCATTTTAAATTATGTGTCATATTTTCACTGGTTTTCACCTAATTTTTTTTTACTTTTATTTTAATTTACAAAGTGAAATACAATTTAAATTCCTTGTCACAGTTACCTTTATGATATCACCCCAATACATTTTGGACATTTTCACTTAGGGGTGCACTCACTTTTGTGGCCAGCGGTTTAGACATTAATGGCTGTGTGTTGAGTTATTTTGAGGGGACAGCAGATTTACACGGTTATACAAGCTGTACACTCACTACTTTACATTGTAGCAAAGTGTCATTTCTTCAGTGTTGTCACATGAAAAGATATAATAAAATATTTACAAAAATGCATTTACATTGACTCTCTCATTTCAAACTGCTTTCAAACATTTGGGAAGAAAATGATGTGCTTTGTGCATAATATGTTCTCTTTTGAAATCAACCAGATAATAATAATAAGCTGCAGTGTGGATCAGATAAGCTGACGGTCTCGATCTGTGTGTGTTTGTGTGACAGAGGATCCGGTCGACGGTTGACGAGCGAGAACAGAAGCAGCTACTGATGGATCTGGATGTGGTCATGAGGAGCAGCGACTGTCCCTACATCGTCCAGTTTTACGGGGCTCTTTTCAGAGAGGTTTGTCCGTTTGGTCTGCTTACCGCCTCATGCTTTCTGAGAGAGTCTTTCCTCTCAAGACGCTTGTTCTGTCTTTGTCTTTCTCAGGGGGATTGCTGGATATGCATGGAGCTCATGTCTATCTCCTTCGACAAATTCTACAAATACGTTTATTCCTCTTTAGACGAAGTGATTCCAGAGGAGATTTTAGGGAAAATAACATTAGTTGTGAGTTTTCATTCATTTAATTCCACTTTGGCATTGATTAAGTGATGCGTTTCGTTAGCGTTCATTAAAATGCTGTGTTCTTCTGTGTCGTTTCAGACTGTGAAAGCACTTAACCACTTAAAAGAAAACTTGAAAATTATTCACAGAGGTAAGAGAAGCAGAAGGATGAAGTTTCTCATTTCTGACCTCTATCAGTTTGTTTTTGTTGTTTTACTCAGACTGAAGCTCTTTCTCTCTGCAGACATAAAGCCATCAAATATCCTCCTGGACAGGAAAGGCAACATTAAGCTGTGTGATTTCGGCATCAGTGGACAGCTGGTCGACTCCATCGCCAAAACCAGAGACGCAGGCTGCAGACCATATATGGCAGTAAGATTTATTCATTTATAGATTCATTACCACTACCATTCATAAGTTTGAGGTTGGTAAGATTTTGAAATGTTTTTGAACAGAAGAAAGTCTCTTCTGCTGCTCGCTAAGGCTGCATCTATTTGACCAAAATACAGTAAAAACAGTCGTATTTTTAGATGTAATGCATTTCAGTGATCAAAGCTGAATTTTCAGCATCATTACTCCAGTCTTCAGTGCCGCATGATCTTTCAGAAATCATTCTAATATGCTGATTTGATGCTCTAGAAACATTTCTGATTATCATCAATGTTGAAAACAATTGTGCTGCTTCATATTTTTGTGGCAACTTTGATACAAAATTGATACGTAATGATATGGTACGAACTTTGACGTGACTTTTTTTTTTTTTTTTGTCCAGGATTATTTAATGAATAGAAATTTCAAAAGAAAAGCATTTAAAATAGACATCTTTTGTAACATTATGAATGCCTTTACGGTCAGTTTTGATTAATTCAATGTGCTGCTGAAAAATAAATAGAATAAAATAAAGTAAATGTTATTACATTTATTGATTTATTTTTATTTATTTAAAGATGCCACTGCTATTGGGGTAATTTTTTGTAATAAAATAAAATAATAATAATAATTTGAACATTAAAAACCGTGTGTGTTTATGTGTTTATTTATATATATATATGTATATGTATATATGTGACCCTGGACCACAAAACCAGTCATAAGGGTCAATTTCTCTAAGCTTTCCATTGATGTATGGTTTGTTAGGATACAACTATTTGAATATCTGTAATCTGAAAGTGCAAAAAAAAATCAAAATATTGAGGAAAATCACCTTTAAAGTTGTCCAAATGAATTTCAATGCATATTACTAATCAAAAATTAAGTTAAGTAATTTCCTGTCGTCCTTTCTGAAGCTGAGCGTGCGTGTGCGTGTGCGTGTGCTGTAGAGTGATGTAACTGCAGGAGTGTCCATGAATGAAGCTTAGCTCTTTAACATTACTGTTTGTACGTGGATCCCATGTAGCTGTTGTCGGACAAATATATTCTACATGTGCAATAGTCTATTCTTGATCACTGTGTGTATGGGGAGATAACGTTTCTTTAAATGCGGTTTTAATGAATTGCTTGTGTGTGTGTGAGAGAGAGAGAGAGAGTTCTGCAGTGGCTCTGCTGCTGCTGCTGCTGATGATATCATGCTCTAATCTGAGCCGTGATCTCATCATCATCATCATCATCATCATCATCATCATCATCATCCCCAGAGTCT